CTGAGGTAGGGGATGGTAGCACTGTATAGGGAGCACTCACAGCTCCAAGAGTTTCCCTCCAAATTATGAAGAAGCTCTTGTAAATAACTAGATTTTCCACAGCCTGGTCCTCTGCACGTGGGAAGGAGGGGAAATGAATGTGAAAAGCATTGTGCTCTGCTGTCTGGTCCTTCATACATCCAGTTCTGAGCACAGCTCTTATAATCTACCAGTTCCTCAGGGTGAAACCACAAGCTGATCTCCTCCGCACTCTCCACAGAATCGCTGCCCTGTATAATGTTCCTGCCAACTTGCATGCGGAAGTCTCCACGGAGGGTCCCAGGCTTGGAGTCTGCAGGGTTGGTCTCCCCGAGCCTGACTCGGCCTGTCTTCACCACGTTCAGCCCCTCTCAGACCATGGCAACTACCAGCCCTGAGTGCATGTATTTCACCAGGCCGGCAAGAATGGATGGTCCTTCAGGTCGATGTAGTGTTCCTTGAGAAGGTCTTCAGAAGCTTGCATGAATTTCAGACCAACAAGGCAGAATCCCTTCTGCTCAAAACACTTGATAATCTCTCCCACAAGACCCCACTGGACCCCAAGTGAATTGACAGCAATGAAGGTATGCTCACAGTTGGCCATGGTCCCCTCCGGCTGCTTGGGCTTGAGCTCTCTTTCTGTCTGTCTGTCTTTTTTGTTTCTTATCTTTCTTTTGGTCTTTCTTCTTTCCTTGTTTCTCTTTCTTTCTTTCTTTTTTCTCTTTCTTTCTTTCTTTTCTCTGTTTCCTTCCTTCCTTCCTTCTGTCCTTCCTTCCTTTTTTCCTTCTCTCTTCTCCTCAGGAGGCTGAGGCAGGAAAATTGCTGGAACCCAGGAGGCAGAGGTTGCAGTGCACCGAGATCTCACCACTGCACTCCAGCCTGGGCAATAGAGAGCTTCTGTCTAAAAAATAAATAAATAAATAATAATAAATAAATTAAAAGCAAGAATGACAATGACATCCTGACATCCATAACAGACTGAGACCCTGCCATGATTATAGAACCCTGTGAACCCTCCCAGCAAACCTAGCAGGTGAGAGGGCTCTCACCTCACAGAAGAAACTGAGGGGCAGGGGGAAACAGTGTCTTGTCCAAGGTCACTGGGGTCTGCACTGAAGCCCACGCCTCTTGATCCCAGCTTAGTGCATCTGTCGAGGGAGACAGCTCCAGACATAAGCCTGCTGGGGCCTGCCCAGTGCAGTTCCAGGAGGCCCTCGGTCCACCACACTCTCTACATGTCCTCAGGGTTCCCTGCCCAGATGGTGTCAGGGGCCAGTGAGCAGGGGACCCAAAAGCTGCATGGTGGGCACAGAGGTAAAGACACAGAGACAAGGAGAGGGAAGGGGTTTTGCCCAGGGTCACCCAGCCTGTCAGTTTCCTGAGGTTGCAAGTAACAGGTTACAAACTCAGTGGCAATTGATTTCCTCACAGCTCTGGAAGCCAGAAGTCTGAAATCAAGGTGTCAGCAGGGTCCTGCTTCCTCTAGAGGATTTAAGGGAGCCCAGATCTCCCCCAGGGAGCCTCCCAGGGCAGGGTGTGCTCTAACTTTTGGTCATTTCTGTTCAGTAGTCTTAGGACTTATACCGTTTATTTATTTAATGAATTTATTTATTTATGAGATGGAGTCTTGCCCTGTCGCCTAAGCTGGAGTACAGCAGTGTGATCTTGGCTCACTGCAACCTCCACCTCCCAGGTAATCAGTTCTCCTGCCTCAGCCTCCTGAGTAGCCGGGACTACATGTGCCACCAAACGGGGCTAATTTTTGTATTTTTGGTAGAGACAAGGTTTCACCATATTGGCCAGGCTGGTCTCAAAGTCCTGACCTCAGGTGATCTGCCCACCTTGGCCTTTCAAAGTGCTGGGATTATAGGTGTGAGCTGCTGTGCCCAGCTAGGACTTAAACAGTTTAGAGGTTTTATTTGGGCTGGAGTGGAAACAGAACACAGGTAAAACTTTAACATGTCAGCGAATTCAACAATGTGGGATTTCAGAATTCAGTGGGAGAGGAACAAGTTCACAGCTATTTCTGCTCAAAGATCCAACTGGCTAAACCCATTGCTGCTCCACAACTAAGGCAGACACAGCAGAAACCCCACTGATCACCTGACTTCCTTCCTTCCTTCCTTCCTTCCTTCCTTCCTTCCTTCCTTCCTTCCTTCCTTCCTTCCTTCCTCCCTCCCTCCCTCCCTCCCTCCCTCCCTCCCTTCCTTCCTTCCTTCCTTCCTTCCTTCCTTCCTTCCTTCCTCCCTTTGCTTCCCTCCCTCCCTCCCTCCTTCCCTTCCTTCCTTCCTTCCTTCCTTCCTTCCTTCCTTCCTTCCTTCCTTCCTTCCTTCCTTCCTTCCTTCCTCCCTTTGCTTCCCTCCCTCCCTTCCTTCTTTCCTTCCTTCCTTCCTTTCTTCCTCCCTTTGCTTCCCTCCCTCCCTCCCTCCCTCCCTCCCTCCCTCCCTTCCTTCCTTCCATTTTTCCCTTCCTTCCTTTTTGAGACAGGGTCTCACTCTGTTACCCAGAATGGAGTGCAGTGGCACCATCTCAGCTCACGGCAACCTCTGCCTCCAATGTTCAAGTGATTCTTCTCCCTCAGCCTCCTGAGTAGCTGGTATTAGAAGTACCCACAACCATGCCTAGCTAATTTTTGTATTTTTAGTAGAGTCTGGGTTTCACTATGTTGGCCAGTCTGGTCTCGATCTTTTACCTGGTGATCCGCCTGCCTTGGCCTCCCAAAGTGCTGGGATTACAGGCATGAGCCACTGCCCCCATCCTCACCTGAGTTTCTAGGAGGCAGAGGCTGGCTGCTGTGGGCTCAGAGCTCCTGATCTTCTCTTCCTCAAGGCCTCAGGTCCTGTTTGCCTCTGATGGGCCTAGCCATTCTTTCTGAGACACCTCAATAGGTGCCAAGACTGGAAGATTGGAGGGAATGGTACAGAGAGAGTGAAGTGAGGTGGTCAGCTTCTGTGCTTAAGCTTAGTAGCTTCAATAAAATTCCTAATTTTACCGGACGTGATGGCTCACGCCTGTAATCCCAGGACTTGGGAAGACTGAAGCGGGCAGATCACCTGAAATTGGGAGTTCAAGACCACCCTGACCAACATGGTGAAACCCCATGTCAACTAAAAATACAAAATTAGCTGGACGTGGTGGTGCATGCCTGTAATCCTAGGTGCTTAAGAGGGTAGGCAAGAGAATCACTGAAAGCCAGGAGGCAGAGGTTGTGGTAAGCCAAGATCACACCATTGCTCTCCAGCCTGGGCAACAAGATCGAAACTCTGTCTCAAAAAAAAATTCCTAATTTCCAGATCCAGCCTTCCCACTCCTGCCTCCCAGCCCTCACTGTGAAGCTGTGGCTCTCATCGGGGAAAGGCTGGTTGATCACCTCTTGGCCCTGGCAGCAAAGTTGAGCACAGAGACTGTATCTAGATAGAAATGTCTCTTGGGGAAATGTTGACAATGAAGATGCTGTGGGCTGAGACACCCAGGCAGTCCTGAGGTGGGGACTAGGCAGTGGGTGAGTCAGAAGCGCTGCCTGGCTGAACATGGTGGCTCACACTTGTAATCCCAGCAGTTTAGAAGGCGGAAGCAGGTGAATCACGTAAGCCTAGGAGTTCAAGACCAGCCTGGGCAACATGGTGAAACCCATCTCTACAAAAAATACAAAAGTTACCTGGATGTGGTGTGTACATCTGTAATCCCAGTTACTTGGGAGGATCACTTGACCCAGGGAGATCGAAGCCTTGGTGATCCATGATTTGCACCACTGCACTCCAACCTGGGTGGTAGAGCAAGACCCTGCCTCAAAAGGAAGAGAAAAGGCCAGGCGCTGTGTCTCACACCTGTATCCAAGGATTTTGGGAGGCCTGAGCAGGCGAATCACTTGAGGTCAGGAATTCGAGATCAGCTTGGCCTATGTCATGAAACCCCATCTCTCCTAAAAATACCAAAAAAAAAAAAAAAAAAGCCAGGCATGGTGGTGGGTGCCTGTAATGCCAGGAGAATCCCTTGAATTTCACAGGGAGAGGTGGCAGTGAGCTGAGACTGCCACAGCACTCCAGGCTGGGTGACAGAGCAAGATTCAGTCTAAAATAAAATAATTAATTTTAAAAAGATAAACTGACATAGCACATTTCTATAATCTGTCTCAAAGAAAAGTTGGCTGGGTGCAGTGGCTCACACCTATTATTTCAACACTTTGGGAGACCAAGGTGGGCAGATCACGAGGTTAGGAGATTGAGACCATCCTGCTAACATGGTGAAACCCTGTCTCTACTAAACATACAAAAAATTAGCCTGGCGTGGTGGCACACACCTGTAGTCCCTGCTACTCAGGAGGCTGAGGCAGGAGAATCACTTGAACCAGGGAGGTGGAGGTTGCAGTGAGCCAACATCGTGTTGCTGCTGCACTCTAGCCTGGGCGACAGAGCAAGACACCAGCTCAAAAAAAAGAAAAAAACAGGTCCAGCCTGCCTGGGCGTGAACTGCTCTTCCCCACGCCCCACCCCAAGTAGGCTTCAGAGCATCCTTCTCCAGCAGCCAATTTGCCCTGACACGGGTGGGCTGACTTGCAACAGACAAGTGAGCTTGTTTTCCTGGGGAGACACAGTGGGAAGTCCCTGGCTCAGCACATCCACTGCCTTGCCCAGCACAAAGCGGGAGATGGAGGTGGCTCCACTGTCTTTAGCCCAAGGCCCTTGATGCCTATGTGTTGGCTTCCTCTGCATCAGCCTAACCAGTCAGGTAGAGTAGAGGTTTTCCTCCCACTGGCAAGATGGGGCCAGTCATTCCTGCTGGTCCACCTGGGACTAAGAGCAAAGGTCTTGAGCTTGGCTCAGGCTCCAGGGCTCTCCCAGGTCCTCAACCCTGTCCATGGCCTCACCTTGACCTTGAGCACAGCATGACTGCAGGAGGGGTGCTGGTTGAGCTGGGTGCTTCCTCCAGTCCAATTTCCATTGTCTGACAGGAAGTGCTGCTCAAAATCAGCAAAGCTCACTGTGCTCCCTTTGGCAGCGCATAAATGCTAAAACTGGCACAATACAGGGAAGATTAGCTTGCCCCTGTGCAAGTTGCCACAAAAATGTGTGACGTGTCCTATATAAAATAACAATAACAGGCCAGCACGTGGTGGCTCACAACTATAATCTCAGACTTTGGGAGACGAAGGTAGGCGGATCACTTGAAGTCGGAAGTTCGAGACCAGCCCGGGCAACATAGCAAAACCCTGTCTCTACTAAAAATACAAAATTAGCAAGCCGTAGTGGTGGGTGCCTGCAATCCTAGCTACTCAGGAGGCTGAGGCAGGAGGCTCACCTGAACTTGACCCTGAGACATAGAGGTTGTAGTGAGCCAAGATCATGCCACTGCACTCCAGCCTGGGTGACAGAGCAATACTCTGTCTCTAAATAAACAGACGATAGAACAACACAAAATAAAATAAACTATGGCTTGGCACGTTGCTACATTCACGTCCTATTGATGTGATAGCAATGAGCAGAGATTGCTGCCATGGCACTCCAGCCTGGGAGAAAGAGAGAGACTCTTGTCTCAGAAAAAAAAAATTATCATCATTTTCATCCTTATATAAAATCAGCAAAGCTAGCGATAGGCTTCTGCACGAGGCCAGGAATCAGGGTGATTTCCCTATAGTCTTCTGGGATCACCGGGTCTCCCTCTGCAGGGTCCAGGAGGTGGAACCCTGTGTAAGCAGTGAGGAGAAGGGCAGTTCTCCACACAGAGGCTGCTTGCTTTCTGGGGACCAGTTTCCTTTCTCTGCTCTGTTCTCAGAGTTGAACCATCTCCACCCCAGACTATGTCTTTCCAGGTCTCACCTTCCCTCCCTCCTGCCTGAGCAGAGCTCTGTTTAGAACCAGGTCTGTCTTTGACCCTTTGTTGCTCCTCCTCCCACCAGCACAAGGCCTCATCCTTTCCTGGTGGAGCTCTACATAGAACAGTGACAGGGAGGGCCCAAGGCCGGCCCCGGGTGCTTCCTCCCTTGAGCCCAGGAGTCACCCCAGCCCAATGTCTGGGCTCCCAGCATTGTTGTTTCTTCCCTGGGGAGGGAGGAAGAAAGCTGTGAGGTTTTCCTGTCCGTTTCCCCAGCCCTTTCTGAGGCAGAGCTGATCCCTCTCTGGCTCCCTCACCTGCCCCTGTGGGCCTGTGTGCAGCAAGTGCCTTAGGATGAGCCCGCTGAACCTGCAGAGACGTCCTGCTGAGCACCTCCCCAGAGAAGGCAGGAAACCCATAGGCAGGAAGAAAGGACAGTTAGCACGCGTGTGTGTGTGTGTGTGTGTGTGTGTGCACGCTGAGGTCGGGGAGGCATACGGAAATGTTTTCATTCTCGCCCAGACCTTGAATTTTGTTTGTTTTTGAGACAGGGTCTCACCCTGTCACCCAAGCTGGAGGGCAGTGGCTCAATCATAGCTCAGTGCAGTCTCGAACTGCTGGACTCAAGTGATCCTCTGATCTCAGCCTCCTGAGTAGCTTGGACTATACCTAGGCACCACCATACCCAACTAATTTTTTATTTTATTTTTCGTAGAGATGGGTTCTTGCTTTGATGACCAGGCTAGTCTCAAAACTTTTGGCCTCCAGCAATCCTCCTGCCTTGGCCTCTCAAAGTGCTGGGATTACAGGTGTGTACCATTACTATGGAGAGATTTCTATACAAAGGGAATATTTATAATAGAGAAAGTGTAACAAAATTTTTTTCTTTTCTTATTTTTTTTCTTTAAAATTTTTTTTTTTTTTTTTTTTTTTTTTTTTAATCAAGACAGGGTTTCACCATGTTGGCCAGGCTGGTCTTGAATTCTTGACCTCAGGTGATCCGCCTGCCTCAGCCTCTCAAAGTGCTGCGATTACAGTCATGAGCCACCACGCCCGGTCATTTTTTTTTTTTTTAATTGAGACGAAGTCTTGCTCTGTCACCCAGGCTGGAATGCAGTGGTGCCATATTGGCTCACTGCAACCTCCATCTCCAGGGTTCAAGCAATTCTCCTGCCTCAGCCTCCCAAGTAGCTGTAATTACAGGTGTGTGCCACCACACCTGGCTAATATTTTGGTATTTTTAGTAGAGACTGGGTTTGTCATGCCCACCAGGTTGGTCTCAAATTCCTGATCTCAGGTGATCCACCTACCTTGGCCTCCAAAAGTGCTGGAATTACAGGCATAAGCCACCAGGCCTGGCCAATTATTTTCTTAGAACAAGTGATTAATAAAGTGTGACATGAGGCCGGGTGCAGTGGCTCAAGCCTGTAATCCCAGCACTTGGGGAGGCTGAGGCGGGTGGATCACTTGAGCAGAGGAATTCGAGGCCAGCCTGGCCAACATGGTGAAACCCCAGTGCTGCTATAACTAGAAAATTATCTGGGCATGGTTGTGCACACCTGCCCTGTTACTTGGCAGGCTGAGGCATGAGAATCACTTGAACCCAAGACGTAGAGGTTGTAGTGAGCTGAGATCATGCCACTGCACTCCAGCTGGGTGACAGAGCAATACTCTGTCTCTTAATAAATAGACGATAGAACAACACAAAATAAAATCAACTATGACTTGACACATTCCTATAATCACATCCTATAAAGCAATTTAAACTGGTAAGTCCATAGTGTACCATGCTTAAGAATGGGTTCTACCAACCAGACTGGGTTTGAATTCAAACTCTGCCACTCACAGTGTGCATAACTGTGAACAATTTAATTTTCCTCCCTGTACATCTCAGTTTCCTCATCTATAAAACAGAGATACTAATGGTAGTCATTCATAGGGTTGTTGATGATTAAAAGAATTAATGCATGCAAAGCACTTAAGACAATGCTTGTCACGTGGCAAGTGTTCAATAGATGCTATTATGTAATGAGATGAGGAAATTCATCTTCTTTAAAAAAGCCCAAGTGCAGGAGCAGTTCTCTTAACTGAGACTAACCTAACCAACATTTACTTCCAATTCCCTTTAAAACATATGAATGGGCCAGGTGCGGTGGCTCACTCCTGTAATCTCAGCACTTTGGGAGGCTGAGGCGGACAGATCACGAGGTCAGGAGTTTGAAACCAGCCTGACCAACATGGTGAATCCTGTCTCTACTAAAATTACAAAAGTTAGCCAGGTGTGGTGGCACATGCCTGTAATGCCAGCTACTCAGAAGGCTGAGGCAGGAGAATTGCTTGAACCTGGGAGGCGGAGGTGTGGTGAGCTGAGATCTCACTACTATACTCTAGCCTGGGCAACAGAGTGAGACTCCATCTTAAATATATATATATATATATGTATATGTATATGTATATGTATATGTATATGTATATGTATATCTATATCTATATCTATATCTATATCTATATCTATATCTATATCTATATCTATATCTATTTGTATATATGAGTGATTCTAACAGCCTATTGACTGCTATGTCCGGTGGATTATTAGTGGGAAGCCATTTGAATTAACCAACCAACTTCCAATTCCCTTAATACAAAGTTTTTAAAAATGGACTCTGCCATAGCAGGTAAATATCCTATCTTTTTTCAATAGAAATGTCTATATATGCAATCAAAAAAATTCAGGGTCAGGCACAATGGCTCATGCCTGTAATCCCAGCACTTTGGGAGGCCGAGTCAGGCAAATCACCTGAAGTCAGGAGTTCAAGACCAGCTTGGCCAACATGGTGAAACCTGGTTTCTACTGAAATACAGAATTACCCAGGCATGATGGTGGGTACCTGTAATCCTAGCTCCTCAGGAAGCTGAGGTGGGAGAATCGCTTGAACCCGGCAGACAGTGGTTGCAGTGAGCCGAGATTGCGCCACTACACGCCAGCCTAGGTGGCTGAGTGAGAATCCATCTGAAAAAAAAAAATTATGGAAGGATACTTATACCCAGCAATACTGCCTTTTCGAAAGTCTTAACTTGAAAAAATAAAATAAAATAAAAATCTTAAATTGGCCAGGCCTGGTGGCCCATGCTTGTAATCCCAGCACTTTGGGAGGTTGACCAGGAGGACTGCTTGAGGCCAGGAGTTCCAGACCAGCCTGGGTAACACAGGGACACCCCATCTCTACAATTTTTTTCTTTTAATTATCCAGGCATGGTGGTATATACATCACCTAGTGGTATATATAGTCCTAGCTATTCAGGAGGCTGAGGCAGGAGGATTGCTTGAGCTTAGGAGTTTGAGGCTACACTGAGACATGATTGCACCACTGCACTCTAGCCTGGGCAAAAGAGCAAGATCCTATCTCTCAAAACATCTTTAATGGAAAGATTGTAAGGTGTATGAATTATATCTCAACTTTTCAAAAGCCGTGAGAGCTGTTCACATGCTACCGTACCAGCAACTAGCATTGAAGTTCGACATGACAACCAAAGTAGCAGCAGGGGAAGGCTTCGGAGCTCCTGTGTGAAAAGCAGTGTTACCATAATACGGATTCACTTATGCCTGATATACGATGCCCAGAGAGTTACCCACTCTAGCATGAACTCTCGAAAGTATCTGCATTTTGGTGACGTTTTTATTTTTCCTTTGAGACAGGGTCTTGCTCTGTCGCCCAGGCTGGACTGCAGTGGTGCAATCACTGCCTGAATAGTGTTTGTACTTTTTTGTAGAGACAGGGTTTCACCGTGTTCCCAGGCTGGTCTCAAACTCTTGGCCTCAGGCAATCCTCCTACTTTGGCCTCCCAAAGTGCTGGGATTACAGGCATGAGCCATCCTGCCCGGCCAGAGAATTTTTAAAAATACCTATGCATGGGTTTCACTCCCAGCCATTCTCAATGAGTTGGTCTGGAATGGGGCCTGGCATCAGAGGTCTTTAAACTCCCCAGATGATTCTATTTTTAGTTTTATTTTTTAAAAGTCAGTCAAACTCAGCTGTGCAGATAATGCTGGTGGGACACCGAAGTTGACCTCTATTGCTGCAGCCAGATTCACACAACTTGGAGCCTCACTGATTTTTGTCGTTGTTTTGGATTTCAGGACCGAGACCCTGTCCCAAGAACAAAACAACGACAAAAATCAGGGTCTCGGTCTGCAGCCCAGCCTGAATTGCAATGGCGTGATCGAGGCTCACTGCAAACTCTGCCTCTCAGGTTAAAGTGATTCTCCTGTCTCAGCCT